TACTCAGTATTGTGATGTAACCCCGAAAATGATAAAAATAAAGGGAATGCCAAATATCTGAGACACGAATCTCATATTAAGATGTAGGATTGCCAGACCAAATGCACCCAGATGATACAAACTACAAAATCTGTATGTTTTGTACCATGGTTGAATGTCTTCATGGGTCATGTCGACAAATGACGCCCGCTAGGCGTTTGTTCACATAATACCATGCTTCTCCCTACACAACTGATATTTTCCGAGAGTCCATGTAAGAGAGAGGCAAATATTATGCCGTTTAATTACTGCGAACGTTACTGTGCATTTTGACGGTAGCGGGACGTATCCTGAGGCACCTTGGACAATCAGACAATGAATAAATTTTAATAGCATTTGTTCGCTTGTTTCTCACTGGACCTGCTCCTGTTTCGAAGAAGAAAATACGAACATAACTCTGGTGCGCATACCGATAGTATGAAAGCGATATCGTGTAGTTTTCAGGGTAGCAGAATACGAACATATCCGCATAGAGTCTATCCTTCATACTCAACGATATAAACTACACCAATTCAGTGTTAAATATCATTTATAAAATCAGTCCATCATATAAGCTCCCTTGATCCTCAGTAAGGTAAGACAAAAAACTGTGTGTGAATGTCACATGCATCGTTAAAAGTCGGGGGCGAGTCGAGATAGTGATATGGAGTACACTCCAAGAACTCCACAGTCGTAGAGAGATAAATGACACAGTATTCAACAAGCTGAGTGCCGTCAACTCTCAGGCCCCTTACGCCAGAACCACTTTTCAAAATTCACAAAGATCCGGTCAAAGTCAGAAAACCTGTTTGATCCAAAGGTTCAGTCATCTCAGCTCATCCTCATAACACCTTGCCGAACTACAAGCACCACTGGGGAAAGAAGGGAATTTCTACATCAGCGTATCCAACACCTTTGTCAACAAACTGAAAGAAGAGTGCAAGACAAGTACATTGGACATTACATCATAATTGCAAGGTTATGAGTCAGCGAGAGACGAATGCTTACACACTGACAGAAACAAAAAAGTCATGATGGATAGATGACCTTACGTCCGTATTTACTGACTAAATTGATTTAAGCTGGTGGCAGCATTATTGAGTGAATGCTGTTACATGTTGCACTGTCCCTGCTATAACATGATAGCGTAAGTAATCTCACCAGTGGCAGACAACATGAACAACAAATTTGCAACATTATCACCGACCTAGACGTTTTGCTGCTACATTGTACTGATCTTTATAACTTTATCGGTATTAGTTATGAATCCAGCTATGGTCACTGTATGGACGCCATGTATTGATATCGTCATTGTGTATTATGTGACGTCACTCGCTAGACACGTCATAGTTGGTTCCGTTCCGAATTCGGTTTACCTGCCAAACTGATAGTCCGATGTGGGATAGACCTAAGCGTCACACAAACAGAGACTTGAACGAAGCTATTTCTTAGCTTTTGAACTCGTAAAGATAAATCAGTTCAATATTGTAGGATTTCACGATAGAATTTATCCAAAGCAACATGTGCTTGTTGTAAGGGACTAATATCAATCACTGGGGGGTTGTCAGGTCCGGATTCGATTATTTTCAAGCTGCGGGATATAGTTGGAATATAGCTAGCTGATACCATGTACCTAACAATCAAACATAACCATGAAAATCCGGGTTAGAATAGATCTTCAGCAACACATCCTTTCTTAAGAGGCGACTAACGAGATCGGAGGGTCAGTCACGCTGACTTGGTTGATGCATGTTATCCCAATTGCTTGGATCGTTGCTCATGATGTCAATCACTGGATTGTCTGGTTTCAGACTCGATTATTTACAGACCGCCGTCATATAGCTGGAATATTGTTGAGTGCGGCGTAAACAATCAAACAAACCTAAATTTGCAACCTTGTCTGCCAACTCGAATGTAGAATGTAACCTGTGTACATTGTGCCTCTTGTCGCCGGATCATGAAAGAGACCCTGACTGCACAGAAAGTGGGACCCCACCTAATGTGTCCTCTTGATGACGTCAAAAGTTGTCGATTTCTGATGAGTTTCTGTTAACATTCCTGTAGACGTTTCTGTTTCTATCTAAACTTCTTTACAAACCTGCTTAATGTCAAAGAGGATGAAACACTACAGAAACAATGTTAATTCACGAATATGTATAAAACGCTTGTTAAATCAGGGAAAAGGTATAATGACTGAAACTTTCGGGGGTTATGTAAATTCCCATACCAGACATATTACCTGAAATTTCCAGTTAGTTTATATATAGTTTGCTAAATAAATTGGTGAGCAAAGGAAAGTCTATACCCATGTTTCATGGTGACTCCAAAAGAATCAAACACGTATTTGATACCGGTATCACAGTTGTGTTTTGAACTTAAAGTTGGGAGTGTTTCCACAACTGTTTTCAGGCTAATAACGTTCTACTTTTGTAATTATTTGGTCAAGTCCAGTTTTCCAGTGTATACTTTCTTTTACCCGGCACTTTATGTATGTAGATCAGAAACAACTTTAGGATAGCATAGTACTTGCATTGAGACTTATAAAAGGTTAATATGATATTATTGTAACTGATCAACACTGGCTTTATTGCACGGCCTGTATATGTAGATGTTGTCACAACGAAAATATTCCTCATTTACATTCAATTTTAGAACATTAGCTGCTCAAATATGTGTGTACGCAAAACTGTCGCACTTCGGCCGAGCTTCGTGAATACAAGCTGTGTAGGTCGGCGATTTCCAGGCGTTATCTTCGCACTGTGGTAATGTTAGGTCTCTTCCATACTTCATTACACTCGTGTTGACGTAACAGTGTTGGAATCTTGATCCGAGGATGCAATCAAGAGGTCATGAAGAACCTGGTTCGGGGGTTAGAGTGCAAATTATCTAAGGGACATAACACGGATGTGCAAGGTTATTAAACTAAAACGTACTCATCGTGGATACAAGCGACACCTTTCAAACTGTCATTTTAATTCACTGTTTCATGTACTTGTGGAAATATTGTTCTAAAGCAACACTCATGACGCATAACAACACATGGCATCACATATACCTGATTCATATTTGTTGAAGATTCTTTATACGGAAAGCATTGTATTGGCTCTTTAGGGAAGGTCATTTTTACCCTTTTCACTGTGTTGTCGTGTGAACAGAAGGCTTGACAGACTTCCTTGTATATCAGGCGATACCACCGCTTTACCTGCCCATAGTACATGTGCGTTCTCGAAAACACTGGTGACAGTAGTGGTCTAGAAAAATATATAAAAATATGTGGTATGTTTGACCCACGTTTCTATGAAGGTAATGATATCGAAGGTTTTACAAAAAAAAATTAACTTTTGAATAGAGCCCATATATATTTCATGTTAAGAAGGATAATTATATTTGTGGAATGTATCTATCTTCATGCCTGGTTTTAGTAGTGGACCTGCAGATATCTTTACTATGACAATGGCCTCGACCACTTTATCTCTGGATTGTCCCGTGCTACTGCTACGCTCGCCAGATTGTATCTCGGGGTGGCTGTCACCTCGTCGTCTGCTAGCTCTGGGGTCCCGGTGTGAGTAGCTTCGTCGGGTGGCTGGCGGGTGTATCGTCGCTTATCCATCGGGACGATGGGTTTCTTTTCCAAATCGTATTGATAACTCACATTTTTCACCACCAGCTTGTCGTAGGTAAGATAGTAATCGTTCTCACTTTCATTCCAGCTTTCCTTTCTACCGTCGTCCTCTCAGTTTTCTCTACGTGATTGGGATTCTACTTGTTCGAGGCTGTTCATCAGAATAATATTTTCTTCTTGAAGCTGACTGTCTGTCCACATATTATCTGTTCAGATTTCAGTGTGTTTAAAGTTTTCAAACTTGTCGAACTTACTGGGTAAAGACCTCATGTCTTTCTGTATATTCTGCAGTATTACACCAACTTGTATAGTGTCTTCGTTTTCATGCTTCGTGTCATACTATGTGTCCCTATCTCTACCTAGACTCCTGACGTGGTGAGAGATAGTCGACTCTGTCGCGTGTGTCGGCTCGCGGATTTTACTCAACATTTCCACTCAAGTGTAGCAAAACTCCAATTATTAGCAACATCTGGAGCTGGCGTGAACATAAACCACCACATATCTTTAATCCGTGCTGCAATTCAGTTCCCGACCCTACCGGCTGGGTATGTAAGCATATACGGGCTCTATAAACTTCAATATGAACTCCTATACCTGCCGTCACGACTTGCTGTCTTATATGTTACGTTTTCATGTGATGATCTACATATGTATTAATTTATGTGATTTCCATAATCCTTTGAGTAACTGATCAACACAGAGGGGGTCCGACAGTCCTACATATCTATAAAATCATGGATACATACCTTACAATAGCATCTTGTTATCCCTTACTGAATAATTGGTACATATTATACCTTGGAAACAATCATCTGATACATCGGAATCGGGTGGTCTGGCTCGCTGACTAGGTTCATGCATGTCATCGATCCCAACTGCGTGGATCGATGCTCATGGTATCAATCACTGAATTGTCTCATGCAGACTCGATTATTTACCGACCAGCGTCATATAGCTGGAATATTGCTGAGAGTGCGTTAAACAACAAACAAACCAAACAGTCTGATATATCATTTTTTGTGACCTGATTTTCCTGAAACATTTAGGGGCTGTCGGGTAGCCTAGTGGTTAAAGCGTTCGCTCGTCACGCCGAAGACCCGGGTTCGATTCCCGACATGGGTACAATGTGTGAAGCCCATTTCTGGTGTCCCCCGCCGTGATATTGCTGTGATATTGCTAAAAGCGGCGTAAAATCGAACTCACTCACTCCTGAAACATTTATTTTCCCCAGTCGTGTCACTGATTCCCCACAAGTGTGCTCTGATGCCCTACTTGTCTGGATTGAGTGTGTGCAGGTATGCAGAACTGTCGAGGGCATAGATACACGTTATAATGTTAACGCACAGTGCACAGTGACCTCAATACAACCAGGAAGTAGATCACTTGTATACGAGGCCACCCTGTCTCTACAGAGAGCGAGACGGCGCAGATCTCAAACAAAGCAAATACCTGAAACAGGTTTGACGAACACTTCATAACGTTTATCAAATGTTGTTAACTCGATGCAGCATCCAAACCAACAATGACAATTTGTGGATTTTACCTTCTGACGCTCCTCACGTTACTTGGATATCGGGTAGGTCACGTTATTCATATCGTGTTAACACCAAATGAAATCATTCAATATAAGAATATATGCATGTATGTCCGATTACCGATTGCCTCTCCTATACATACTATGAAGGATAGACACAAGCTCGTATCCTGAAACTGGTTGAAGTACCTGTGTTAAAACAATATGTTCTGTTTGATTTGCTGACACAGATCCAGCAGTAAAATAACTATTCATTCACCACTGTTGATGATACTTCGACATAAACATGCAGCTCCTATGACATAACTTTCGGGACTAGTTATATTTTGTCACAGTCTGGTAATTCGAATGGGAGCGTTGGTAGCAATGTGCAACTATACACAACGTCGTCTATGCTCCGGACGGGTTATCTACTCCTGATACACCACCCAGTCTTCACTAAATACCAGTAAACACATCATGCATGCATTTCAGAACTCGTTTAAAAATAATAACTTCTGATATACTTGTATTATACTTGAATTTGTCAAGCCCGTGAGTTTTTCAAATAACCTTTGATCTAGTGGAAACACATATTTAAATGAGCATAATTAATTTAAGCATAATGTTTCATTGAATCAATAATAAACAAAGTGTTATTTCACAACACTCATCACGTGTACGTTCGACCTTAATATGTGTTGTAAATGACAGTTGATATGAGAAATGTGGTCCTTTTTCTATATCAACCCTTGCAACACGGTGTCTTGAATCTTTCTTAATCCGTTATTGGTGTTGCTTGACGATATTTTTACCATTCTGACTTTGAAGAAAGCTTGATTCTCATTTGTCAAAACAGAAGTAACATCTAAATTAGGCATTCCACGGGAAAAAATCGTGCGCATAAATACATCGACCTATACAAAGCTTATATATAGCAATTGCTGACGATAACCTATCAGAACTGTATACGTCCGATATCGGAACTTTATCGGATGATTTTGGTGACGCTTTTGGCGTCGTTGACCTTACCGGGACTGCACGTTTTAAGACCCCTTGTTATTTAGCCCATGGGCTTTAAACGTAAAAATATAACGCCATGGGCTTAAATGAAATTGACAAATTACCGGATGTTCTTCAACTGATGAAATAGCACGAATCTATATGGCCAACTTGCACCAACATTTCACCCTAACGGCTGTTGAAGGTTTCCCCAATTACAAGAGACAGTGGATCCCTAACGGTGGTCATATTATGGATACTCCATGTATCATTTGAAACGCTTATGACAGACTATAACTGTGATATTGGTTTGCTGTCAATAAGTGTTATTGACTCATAGTTTTCATGTGGAAAAAGAAAATTGTGTCTTATGTTGAAGTGTTTCCCTCTCGCATTCCATGTGTGAGTATTGTTTCATTATACCTTGGGATATTCATTGTTCCTGTCATGTTTTTGTACCCTATCGTTTTTAAGGCCTGGGCTTAAATCTGGATACAGTGTTACTCAATTAAAAGAGGCAAAATTTGTAATTAAGCCCAGGGCTTCTGTACCCCTGGCTGGTTTTATGATGCGACAACAACACTTAACTTAATTTGCACACAAATGATAGTTTATGAAGCATTAAGAGATCTGTTCGATAATATCATAAATGAAACAAGTTATAAGATAAGAAGGAAACAAACATAAGACAAGTTTTAAAAATATTTATCATGGCAATATGTTGTCAAAAACCCTTTTTCGCATCTCCGTTAACCACCACTTGAACATCCCTTCAATATGTTGCCGGACCAAGAGTTAGTGTAAAGTAAGACAACTTTGATCTTGTGATCTAATCACTGTCAGACTTCGATATGGGGAATTAACTATTTGGAGCTGGCCTTGAAACAAGAGAGGAGAGAGCTGTGATTACCTTGGGCTAATTTAAGCAAGCGTGTTAACATATCATTCAAATTACATTAATACATATGTAATCATGACATAAATAATAATAATCATGATACTAATATCCTAATACAATTTCAAGCTAAGCTAAGTCTGGGAATAAATGTATGTTATATTGGAGTATGTACGGTAAATGCGCAGAGTAAAGATACAAAGGTTACAACATTTACTAGAGGAATAACGGTAATGTCAAATAACGTTGAGAGATAAGGTGAGTAATTATTACATTTTAATAGAGCATGTACGGTATTCAATGCGGGGGGATGTCGAGACTATTTGGGTAACTACGGTAAGGATTTATGTTTATGGGCAACATTAATTTGATGCAGGAAAATTACATATGTAGTGCATATACGGCACACTGCGTGTCTAGATATAGAACATGATATTTACTTCTGTGAGGATAGTAAACATTCATATGCGTAGTTTTAGTAGTATCTTTCCTGACATGATGATTTCGGCCGTAGAAGATATAGCTCAGTTATTAGTGAGAGAATAATAAGTTTCATTAGAGAATAATTTGTTGACCACGTCCATGTATCACGAATGTGATGTTGCTGTTGACGACATGCGTTTCCTATATACATGTATGCGGAACTATAAGATAACACATGATGGCGTGAATACGTAACATGTAATCGTGTCCTTAAACGACAGGTGTTTGAATGTACATTGTCGTGAAATATCAAAGAAGACTATAACTATATGGAAATGGCTACGGCAGTGTAACTCGAAGGCGACCCTGCTAATCCTGCTATTGACTACGTGCGTTTCTCTATATTCTGAGCTAGACGATATCATATAGTTGAGTGAATACGGTAATTGTATACTTAAATGATGCGTGTTTGAATGCACATTGTCACGAAATATAAAAGAAGACAATAACTGTATGGAAATGACTACGGTAAAGAAACTCGTTTGTAGGCTGTGTTGTACCGAATATATCTGAGTAAGGAACGAAACTTTTCACAATATTTTAATATCACACATGATCATAAAACATAAAAATACAGAATTCGTTGTTGTTATAGCTTATATTGAAAGCTCGTACGGGAAGTAAATCGATTCATATAAGATTTGATTGATAGAAACTGGTTAGAACCTACACCGAAACGTCGCTCTTTATTGTAATAAAGAAGTTGTTCATCCATAAATTCTTATCCTTACACTTGCTTGACAACAGTGTTAGAACCTACACCGAAACGTCGCTCTTAATTGTAATAAAGAAGTTGTTCATCCATAAATTCTTATCCTTACTTTCTTTTTATTGCAGAGTACATATAACATTATAAAAGAATTAAAAACAATCGGACAGTAAAATTACATGAATTTGGTAAGTTGAAAAACGTAAGGTACAAGAAAAACAACAACACAATTTGAAGTAATGGACAAGTGTTTGCGTGAAGTGGAACCTGGTGAACATAAAGAGTTACATAATATGCACTCAGGATAGATTGTACGATGAGGGAGTTTTAAGAGTTCTCTAACAATTTGCCCTTGAATACAATGTTAAACCTTTTGCAACAAATTAGGTCTAACTTTTGGAAGTATCCATTGTGGACTATTAAGATGTAGATGATAAATGGTTGCTTAAAGAGTGTGTGCAACTTGCAGGCAGAGAGATAGGAGATAGAGATCTATGTTGGGATGTGGAGATACCGTTTGGTTAGTTTATTGGTGACAAAGGAATCGACCAGTTCAGACTTAGAGTGGAAAGAAGTATCCTGAGATTTGAAGATTTTCAGTAATAGAAGGGGGTTGGATGTGCCAGTCGTTTGCAAAAGACGAGGATGAGAAGTGCTGCCAAAAGAATAGGATAAAGACACAGTAGCCACCTGGTGTAGTGATGACAAAGTCAGAGGGATTAACAGTAGAAGGTGTGTAGGCATTGTAGTTAAAGGTTGAGGGAAAAGCAGATTTTGCAGATGTTGCATGGAACATTTAAAAGGAGTGCTGCTGTTAGAGTGCGCATTTTAAAGAAACATCCAGTTGACAGATTGAGAGGAATGAGAACATGGTACTGATTAGGGCAATAAAGCATGTGTGTTAGGCCAGGATCTGGAGACAGATATTTAACCGTCCAGGAGAGGTTCAGCTGGATTCTAGAAGATGGTCTGATCATGTTTCTTGTAGCAATTCGTTGGAGACTTTAATGGGTATTTTTTATCTTGTGAAAGGATTTTTGAACATTTGAGAGAATGTATATGAAAACCTGGAATTTGAAATTGGGCAGCTTTCAGGAAAATTGTGCCACCTGTGATGGTAGCGAGGGTTGAAGAGTCAAAACAATGCTGAACTTGAGCAATGTTTATAGGATGCAGACGTTCCGTTGTGTTGTGGCAGGTGCCAAAGGCTGCAGGATAATAGGTACTTCCATTGAAGGGTTTCAATAACAGGTGGTGCTAAGGACGCAGAAAGTGCAGCCAGGTACAATACGGCGATGACCCGGACAAGTGAGCGATAGAAAGGGTATTTGGTAGACCAAAACATTAGAAGAATCAACAGTATCGGTGGCGCCAATACTCAGTTGCAAAGTGTACAGAAGTTGATGGTTTAAAAAATACCCTATAATTAAGGTTTTTTTAAGTCAGGGCAGGACGGACAAATAGCAGCAGTAACCAAACGATAGTGGCTCCCCATGACAAAAAGAAATCAAGTCAGAAGGAATGTTGTGGCCACAACATTTCACAGTGTAGCACTCATAGAACACTGGCAAATTTGATTACCTGTAGGGTGTGATCAGAGCTTATCTTCCTTTACAAACGATGACCTGTTGTCAGGAGGAATAGCATGGAAGGTCATGACCCATGCTTTTGCAATATATCTGTCTTTTCATTTCCGCCTGTGACCCGATTGTATTCTACATGTATGGTAATCACTTATGCTTTTGGCACAAAGGTTAGAGGATGGTTCCTTGGTAGGTAGTGGGTAACCTTGACATTAAATTTGGTAATTGGTTAGTCCTGTAATCTTTGTACCTATGAGTATGCGCTTTAAAGCATAAAGTTTATCATCTCGTTGGAACTTGTAGAGGGACTCCGTGGACTATTATCAGGTTGTGCGCCAGGTGGTGTTATTGGTTCTTGTGTGGAAGTGTGCTGCGTTAGTGTAGGATTGTC